ACAGAACAGGGATAGGGAGAAATGAGTGGGAGGACCCTGTGGTGCCTCAAAGTCTTGGGTGGCCTCTGCAGCTGCATATTTTGAGTATTGGTATGGACAGTCCTTCCAGGGGAGTTTTGGTCAGTGGTTAGTTGCAGTGAGTTGATACCATTTTATAAAAAATAGAAATGTTTGCATTGATTCATAGTCGGCTAAGTGGCATTAAGTTATACAGTGTGTTTGATATATAGCTCTAAGGCTGTGTCTACACTGGCATCCCTTCCGGAAAAGGGATGCTAATGTAGCACTTTGGAATAGGCAAATCCGCGGGGGATTTAAATATCCCCCGCGGTATTTGCATTAACATGGCTGCCGCTTTTTTCCGGCTTGGAGATAAGCTGGAGAAAAGTGCCAGTCTAGACGTTATTGTCCGGAAAATAAAGCCTTTTCCAGAGGATGTCTTATTCCTACTTGAAAGTAGGAATAAGAGATCCTCCGGAAAAGGTTTTATTTTCCGGAGAATCACGTCTAGACTGGCGCTTTTCTCCGGCTTATCTCCAAGCCGAAAAAAGCAGCAGACATGTTCATGCAAATACCACGGGGGATATTTAAATTCCCCGCAGATTTGCCTATTCCAAAGTGCTACATTAGCATCCCTTTTCCGGAAGGGATGCCAGTGTAGACACAGCCCCTATGTGTTACAAATGGAAAAAAGCGGCAGCCATGTTAATGCAAATACCGCGGGGGATATTTAAATCCCCCGTGGATTTGCCTATTCCAAAGTGCTACATTAGCATCCCTTTTCCGGAAGGGATGCCAGTGTAGACACAGCCTAAGTGTTTTACAAAAGAAGAAAAACATTGCCTTACAGATGGGAAGACTGGGGTGCAAAACTGTCAAGTGACTTGGCCAAAGTCACACAGAAGTTGGTGCCAGGGCAAGGAGAAGAATCCAGATCTTCCGAAGCCCACAATACTATCCTAGGCATCTGCATGATCTTATCAGATCTTCCAGCCCTAGTATTCTAGAATCATAGAATACTAGGGCTGGAAGAGACCTCAGGAGTCATTGAGTCCAGTCCACTGCTCAAAGTAAGACCAACTCAACTAAATCATCCCTTAACTTGCTGGCAAGAATACTGTGGGAGACCGTATCAAAAGCCTTGCTAAAGTCAAGGTATATCACATTCACTGACTTCTCCATGTCCACAAAGCCAGTTACTTCATCAGAGAAGCTAATCAGCTACTCTATCCCCATTTCTCCCCTATTTTTTTTCCTTAGGGCATGCCTACATGTCTGCTTACTGCACAGCAAACTGGGGTGTGAACATACAGCATTCCAACATGCCATAGATTGTCTGTGTGGACCCTACTACTGTACACTAAAAGTTCCATAGTGTGTGTTGACGTATTGCTAATTCTGTGCCTCTTAGTGCACTAGGGCAACTTCAGTGCTCATCTCAGTGTGCCACAAGATTGTAGTAACCAAGACGGGCTCCAGGGATAGGGTAGTTTTGCTCACTGAGCTTTGCAGTGTGTGCCAATTGAACCGTAGAAGTGCTTTGATTGGATGCAGAGGGAGTGCATGGCTCTTATAGTTAATGTTGCTTGTTGTCAACATGCGCCCCCCCTTCACATGCCTTTGCTTTACGTACATGTCATTTTCATAAATCTGGTAGGAAAAAAAAATGTGGATGGAAACCACTTGAATCTAGCAACCCTGCATGTGGGCAACGGTAAACAAAATGTTTCAAGGGTTACACAGAAAACCCTGGTGGGCCACGTGGACTATGGGTCACAGGTTACCCACCACTGACATAGATTGTGGCATGTTGGAGTGCTGTAGATAGCCTCCTCACTGCCCCCAGCTTGCTGCACAGTTAGTAGCATTGCACAGAGCCTCAGGGACTTAAGACTGCCTTTCGCAACTCGTAGGTGCGTTATCTTTTGGAGGGGAAAGTGCATAGTTCAGTGGACACATCTCTGCACACAGGACATCCCTGAGGACACATCTCTGCACACGCCACAGCAAATAGACTCATGGCTGTGCAATGGTGGAAGTGGCTTTCCTCTTATGCCATCTTCTGTGCCTTAGTCCTTCTTCACACTGCTCATCAGAGGAGCATATGGCTCAGAGCGATCAGTACACTCTTGTGATAGCAGTTGTAATTGATTCTATAAATAGGGTTTCCTCGTGCCCAAGTCTTTGCCAGCTCAGCTGTTTTTATTTTTAACAGGAAGCCAGTTTGATGCTTGGTAGAAATAATTTTTTTTTAAAAAAGTCTTTATTAAACATGAAAAGACTCTGTGTCTGAGTACAAGGGGAATGTGCCCCTTGGATATTTTTAAAGCTTCCAAAAATAGTCTCAAGTCACAGACAAAACTCATGTAGCCAGCAGAGCTGTAGGAAGCTTGGTAGCATGGAAAAGGTGAGCAAATTGGGGATTGTTCTATCTCATGCCATTGATTAAATTATTGCTTTTGCTCATTTGAGAACACTAGAGGGATATCAGGGATGGAATCAGGAGTAGGAGAGCAAGTATTACAAGATAGTGAGATATTTGCCACTGTTTGCATTAAACATTCAGTAACATGAGAGATTTTTTTAAACTTGCTTCATCAATGAAAATATAATTGTGGACATCTCACTCGACTTTCCATATAAATGCTTGCTATTTCATTTCAGAAGACTATTCACCCCTCAGCTTTAATTTTTCAGTGCTATTTGACAAAATGGCTTTTGTCTCAGCTTTGATTTCACTTTTGGCTTTGAAGGAGTCCCCTTCACTTAAAATGTGCACTTTTACCAAAAAACGGATCTACTTGCAAAGAAAATATATTGAGAATGGTGATTTTTTTTCAAGAAACAGGGTCAGTGTTCAAGATCATGACAAAATCTATTTGGTTTTTCTTTTTTAAACCCTAGTCGTCGTCTTTCAGCAACTCCCTCATCTCCTGAATCTTTCCTTGTGCCTTAACAATGCCTAAAAAGTCCAGGAGGAAGGCTGCTTTGGTGGGTAAGGTGACAAACTGGGATTCAAGATCATGGTTCAATTCCTGGCTTTGCCACAACCTGCTTGGGTGGCCTTGGGCAAATCAATTTACCCCTCTGTTAAATGGGGATACTTTTGCCTCCTATCTGTTTAGATGGATAGCTCTTCAGGGTGGGGACTGTTTTCTTTATACAGTGCCACCTTCCTTCCAGTTGGGTAGAAAAGAGAAACATGCACTATTGTCATGCATAGTGGTCTTTGTTCTTGACCACTAGAGAAAATGGTGCAGCATCTCTTGGTTCCAGTGAAATCATTAGATTGTGTATACATGCACCCTGGAAAAAATCCTGATGAGAGTAAGATTGAGAGTCCATGTGTTCTGACTTGATTGCATTTTTTTTTACTAAGGGGGAGGGGAGGTTATAGTTTGGCAGGAGCATATGAAACTCCAAAGCCCCAAAGACTCTGGGTTTGTTTTTTCAGCTGATGTTAGGAAGGGACTGGCTGGACTCAATGGACACCACAAGGTGCTTGGGTTTATGGATGAAGCCATGCAGCTGGAGATCAAAGGTTGTGAACAGCTGCTGTGGCATGCAGCGGGGGCTGAGAGAGAGGCCGGGCACTGGAGATTAATTTCTTGGATGGTTAGAGCCAAGGTTTAATAGCAGACTTGGAAAGTATAGTGATTGAGTTGCTGCTAAGAGAACCTATGGTTCAGGTCAAGTAAAAGGAAGGAGCAAAGGGTTTTTGTGTATTGGTGGCAAGAGAAACTCTAATGGCTTAACAATATGCAGCCTCAACAAGACACATTATAGCTGCAGCTGCTAGTGATCTGCTTGCTGCTGTGCTGGGGTAGGGGGTAGAGACTCAGAGAAGCACACCTCATGTACTGCTACATCACTTTTAACAAATGATACATTTCCAGGCCGGACTGATGCACAAAGCAAAGTAAAGAAGTAAGCCCGCAGAGAAAGCCTTGTTCATTTTAAAGGGGACTGGAAGAAACTGAAAAATCTGTGGTTGCTGAATGGAGGCAGGGACATATATATTTTTTAAAATTACTGAACAACCCTGTACATTATTTATTGTCCCAAGAATTCGACTGGGGGACCCCATGTGACTAGCACAAGAACTGACTTGAAATGTTCTAAACTGGGTCTTTTTAACCCCTCCTCCTCATTTCCTCACCCATCTGAGCTTCAAAGTCGACGTGTTTGGGATCAGAATTGCAACACCCTAATGATTCAGATTTAAGTGTGATCTTGTTATGACCTTAAGGGTGGCTTGATACTTTATCTAGAACTTTTCTTGGGTTTTCTAGAAAATTATTTAACCCTGGTTGGAAGAACTTTCATCTTGTTATAAGTAATATTTGGCCCCTTAAAACCTTTTGAAAGTAAACTTTCAAAGCCCTTGCAAACAGGGGCTGTTAACAGGGAGTTTGGAGAGGGAGTTGTCCAGATAAAGGAGGAAGCTAACACAGGACCCTTGAGGGAAGTGGTCTGTCTGTAGCATGTGTTTGTGTTTGTGGTTTTCTTGCTGTGTGCTGAGCTTGTGTTTGGCTGTTTGGTTTTTTGTTCTCTTTTTCTTCCCCTCCTCTTCCCCCCCTGCCTCACCAGTGTTTGCTGTGGCTGGCAGTTAGAAGCTGTGAGCTTCTAATCAGGGTTTGAAATCTAGAAGCCTCTGTTCATTGGTTGAGACTTAATTGGGGGAGGGGCTATCAGGCAGTCCAAGGCTTTATAAAGGAGTGAGTCAGTGACCAGGGAGCTTGTGAACAGGGGCTATTAACAGGGAATTTGGAGAGGGAGTTGTGAAGGGGTGAATTACAGTCACCATTCTTTAACATCTTTTCACTATACTCCTTCCCTTTAAGGAGGCATTTAATAACTGAGAGATAATACTGTAATATATCACAGTCATGCCAAAAGTGTTAGGCTGAACTCAATTTAAAAATTGCCCATGCATGGGCTTTGAATAAGAGATCGCTTCAGGATTTGCTTTAAAATCCCCTATCATTCCCCTTTTGAGAATTTCCCTTTCTTGGCCATTTCATGGGATGATCTAAAGCTTTGGCTTCCTTTTCCCTAATATGGTTCTTTCTCAGCAAGATGTGATACCTCAGCCAAAGTTAATTGTGTGATGCTGGTTGTCTAGACACAGGCTGCCTCTCCCTCTCCCCACCTGCTGTTGATTGTTCTGTCCACTAAATAAGCATTTTATTTATGGGGGGGGAGGCACAAGCAACATTAAAAGCTCCGTGGCAGTCTTCAGTTTGGGGATGGTCCTCTCATTCAGCCAGGTCTTGACTCTGTCTGGTAAAGTCCAGTGTGTGTCTTTTGTCCCATGACTGGCGAAAACAGCCTACAATATAAGAGCATGCAGCTACTGAACAGGTACTCATTAGGGCTGAAGTTTGAAGTGTTTTGGTTTAGTTTTCTCCTTGTAAAATTCTCTATGCCTGTAGGTGTCTTGAAGCTGATGCACTAATAATTATGGCAGGGAACTGTTCAGTTCCCCTGCCTTCCCCTCTTAATCCTTACTTGTAACACACCATGGAGGTTGGACCCCAGGTTTCTTATGATTGTGGTACTACATTGTGCACACTGGGTTCTGTTAGGTGGACCAAAAAACCCAAACCAAACCAAACCCAGAATTGTATACTTTAGAAAGGAGACCAAGAAGGGGGAAGTAAGTCTATATTGGTCAGTCTGACCAACCTGATTGCTTTCTGTGACGAGGTAAGTGGCTCTGTGGACATGGGGAAGGTAGTGGATGTGATATACCTTGACTTTAGCAAAGCTTTTGACACAGTCTCCCACAATATTTTTGCCAGCAAGTTAAAGTAGTATGGATTGGATACATGGACTGTAAGGAGGAGGGAAAGATGGCTAGATCATAGAATCATAGGACTGGAAGGGACCTCAAGAGGTCATTGAGTCCAGCCCCCTGCCCTCAAGGCAGGACCAAGCTCTGTCTACACCATCCCTGACAGATGTCTATCTAACCTGTTCTTAAATATCTCCAGAGAGGGAGATTCCACCACCTCCCTTGGCAATTTATTCCAATATTTGACCACCCTGACAGTTAGGAATTTTTTCCTAATGTCCAATCTAAACCTCCCCTGCTGCACTTTAAGCCCATTACTCCATGTCCTGTCCTCAGAAACCAAGAGGAACAAATTTTCACCTTCCTCCTTGTGACACCCTTTTAGATATTTGAAAACCACTATCATGTCCCCCCTTAATCTTCTTTTTTCCAAACTAAACAAGCCCAGTTCATGAAGCCTGGCTTCATAGGCTTCTCTAGACCTTTAATCATTCTTGTCACTCTTCTCTGTACCCTTTCCAATTTCTCCACATCTTTCTTGAAATGTGGCGCCCAGAACTGGACACAGTACTCCAGCTGAGGCCTAACTAGTGCAGAATAGAGCGGCAGAATGACTTCACGAGTTTTGCTTACAACACACCTGTTGATACAACCTAAAATCATATTTGCTTTTTTTGCAACAGCATCACACTGTTGACTCATATTCAACTTGTGGTCCACTATGACCCCTAGATCCCTTTCCGCCATGCTCCTTCCTAGACAGTCGCTTCCCATCTTGTATGTATGGAACTGATTGTTCCTTCCTAAGTGGAGCACTCTGCATTTCTCCTTATTAAACCTCATCCTGTTTACCTCCGACCATTTCTCTAACTTGCTAAGGTCATTTTGAATTATGTCCCTATCCTCCAAAGAAGTTGCAACCCCACCCAGTTTGGTATCATCTGCAAACTTAATAAGAGTACTCTCTATCCCAATATCTACATCATTGATGAAGATATTGAACAGTACGGGTCCCAAAACAGACCCTTGAGGAACTCCACTTGTTATCCCTTTCCAGCAGGATTTAGAACCGTTAACAACAACTCTCTGACTACGGTTATCCAGCCAATTATGCACCCACCTTATCGTGGCCCTATCTAAGTTATATTTGCCTAGTTTATCAATAAGAATATCATGGCTCAATGTACAGTGATCAACAGCTTGATGTCTGGTTGATAGTTTCAAGTGTAGTACCCCAAGAGTTGGTTCTGGGGAAGGTTTTGATTAACATCTGTATTAATGACCTGGATGAGGGGATGGATTGCACCCCCAGCAAGTTTGCAGATGACACTAAGCTAGGGGGAGAGGTAGATACATTGGAGGGCAGGGATAGGGTGTAGAGTGACCTAGACAAATTGGAGGATTGGGCTAAAAGAAATCTGATGAGTTTCAACAAAGCCAAGTGTAGAGTCCAGCACTAGGGACGGAAGAATCCCAAGCATTGTTACGGGCTGAGGACTGACTGGCTAAGCAGTAGTTCAGCAGAAAAAGACCTGAGGATTAGAGTGGATGAGAAGCAGGATATGAATCAACGTGTGCCCTTGTGCCCAAGAAGGCTAATGGCATGTTGGGGTGTATTAGGATGAGCATTGCTAGCAGATCTAGCAATAAGTGATTATTCCCATTTATTTGGTGCCAGTGAGAGGTATTGCATCCAGTTCTGGGTCCTCCATTACAGAAATGTGGACACATTAGAGAAAGTCCAGTAAAGGGCAACAAAAATGATTAGGGGGCTGGAGCACATTACTTAGGAGGTGAGACTGAGGGATTTGAGCTTATTTAATCTACAGGCAGTGAAGCACTGGAATGGGTTACCTAGAGAGGTGGTAGAATCTCTATCCCTAGAGGTTTTTAAGTGTCAGCTTGACAAATCCCTGGCTAAAATGATTTAGTTGGGATTGGTTTTGCTTTGGGCAGGGGGTTGAACTGATGACTTCTGAGGTCTCTTCCAACCCTAGGATTCTATTTTTCTATTGAAATATGAATGATGCAAAGAAGATCATTAGAATCTGTTCTCCATGTCTCATAACACAAGAGCAAGTATACATTCAATTAAATTAGAGGATAGGAAATTCACATCAGGTAAAAGTAAATAATTTTTCACATAACATCTTATTGGACCATGGAACTCATTGCCACATAAAATCTCTGAGGACGAGAAGTTCTCAGAGATTCAAGGGAGAAATGGATAGAAAGGGATGGATAGGGATAGATATAAATATAATTCTGGATATTGTTCAAGATATTTTGGAAGGGATATTATTTGTGCTTCAAGGTTTTAACCAATGTGTATTAGACGTCAAGATGAGTCCTAATGTACGGGCCAGATTGCCACAAATCTACCTACTGTGGGGTGATTCCTTCTCTGAAGCATCTGGGATTTGCCATTGTCAGACAGAATTCTGGACTGAATGGAACATGGTTCCGAACCAGTCAGGGAATTCTTGTGTTCCAAATACGAACAAGTGAAAGGATTTAAACATGGGGTCTGCTCCTCCACTCAACCCTATTTTCCATTTCTTCTTTCTTCCTCTAGGAGCTTTGAGCTTTCAGTTGGCATCTATATCAAAGTCAACATGTTCATTCTCCAAACCTGTGCAGAAGGAATGAGATGATGACAGTGGTGAGCTGTAACAGTTGTAGTAAGGCATGCAACAACTCACTGGCACACCTTAGTTGGTCCAAAATGGCGTCCTCCCTGGCGGATGTGTTTGGTACATGTGAAGTCACACTGTGGGGTAGATATTATTTTGCTCTACAAAATGGTTCTGGTTAGAATCATCCCATGGATGTGGTCCATGGGCTGCTAGTTGGCCAACATGGAATCAGCTGGGCATTCAGTACATTGTCTTGCATATGTAGGTGGCACATCTCTAGTTCTGAGGAAGAAAAGGAAAAGTGTCCCAAAGACAAACAGGTGCATAACTTTATTCTAGCATATATCCCTGCTGAATATTTATCGTAAGAGGTAGCTTTGTGTGGTAACTAATTTTCTCTACTTCTGCTGCAGTATTACATTTGAGGTCCAAGATCATAACGGAGGTGGAAGATTCTGAGCACATTCCACAAGTTTCCAACTACTTTTGATGCTTGGTTATACCAGTCTAATTACAGCTATTATTTAAAGTGGTACACGACACCCCAGCCTGTAAGGATGCAGTTATATTAGAATAAAGATAGTTTATACCATATGGAAAATGGAATAATTTATGCTCATATTAGGTACATTTTATACCAATGTAACTGTGACACTAGGGATTGTGGGAATACATTGCTCTAACTATGGTGATAAAAATGCGGACATTTAACTGAAATAGTCACACCAATGCAAACTCTGTGTGTAGGCTACGTCTTAGTGGTTGTAAAAGAAATTAAAGATACTCTACATCTTCCAGGATCAAGTCTTAAGTAATCATCTCTCAAAACTGACACAATTGGGATTATTTAGTCTCACCTTGTTCCATTCACCTTTTCCCCATCAGCTGAACTAAAAATGTTTTTTTTCCCCAAGCAGGATGACCAAAATGAGACTGCATAGTTCAAATATGGACTAATTATCCATGCTGTATAAAAACAGAACTCAGTTGCATTGCTCTGTAGATTGAGCATATTTCTGTGGTCTCTGTTGGCCTCCAATATCACGAGCAGGTTCCTAAACCTGGGATCCAATCCTCTTGTTGGAGTTCTTGGCCATAGGAACAGAATAATTAAGGCAGTTTCCCCACAGGTTCTCCTTTTAATTATGCCAAGTGTTGCAGCCATGAGGTAGAAATTCAGACAGTAAACTCTGCAGCTTGCGGACAACTTTTCTTGCCAAGCATGCATTACGAAGGGCTAATTGTAAGAATGGTGCACCTGCCGGCTCCCCTGGTGGCTGGAGCCAATGAGGAAAAAACAGTAATTTATTAATGATCAAGTCACAAATAGTAATGAAAACAATAGGAGCATCTGAAGGAAGCGCTGTCAGGGGCAGAGGTGCAGGTGCTCTGTGCCCCGAACAGGCTCGTCGGCACTTTTATAAAGCTACTTTACAGCTTTATCAATTTCCTATGGCTTCCTACATATCTCCCTCCTCCTCTGCAATGTTTTGCCTGCACAACAGGCTCAGCACTCAGGCTCAGGTGATAAAATAGCTGTCACCCCGAGAAGGGAGAAAAGAACTGAGCAAAAATGTTAGGCTGAAGAAACACAAGAAAGAAAAGTGAGTCTCAATTGAAACAAATGAGTGCTAATGGGACCGCTGAGTCGGCAAAGGGAGAAAGATTATGTGATTTTTAGCTGCAGAATGTTTAAAGGTTTTGGGTAAGAGATACTGGAGGCCAAGAGGAAACATGCTTCAGTGTGTATGTGAGAGAGAATAAATACACATATATAAAATATAGTGTGCATGCTTGGATTTTTAAAGATGTCTGTCAAATTAGACATTTAATTCCCATTCAAACGGAGTGAGATGCAGACACCTAACTCTCTCTTAAGGTTTCTTAAAAAATCCTATCCATCATAATATAAATAACAGCATCATATGTACAACCTTAAGGTTCATTTTAGGTAGTCAAAAATGAGGAACTCCAAAACTAAAAAAAAGCTATAGATGCATGCATAATCCAACTTTGCCTCCTTATGTGTACAAATTACAAGACACTTATAAGTGATCACAGTATCTCTTGGGCAGTAAAACGTAAGCACAAAGATAATATAGCTTCACGGATATGCACAGATTAGACTAAGTGCATTTGAGAGATGGCTAGTTGACTAGATGACTAGCTTACTTGTAGACTGAGGTGTCAGCTGTTATCTTTGCTGTGCATATAACATAGTACAGGAGTTTGTTATGCCCTTTTCATTGTTTGTGATCATATAACTAAGGATGTTGCCACCCCAATGCATTAGGTCAGAGTTAAGATTATACATGTAAGCTTACCCCTTACTCTCTGACTTTTGACTGACTTTCTTTTTAGTGCAATCTTCTTAAAATTCTTTTAAGGATTCTAAAACTTAAAGGCCACATGCAACACAAGACATCATAACTTTATATCTATGGACATAAACACAGGTTATTTTGATCGCTGTTTAGTCACTTTACCTTAGTTACTCAGAGAACCCCCCCCCTCCCCCCCAGGGACCTGACTAATTTTGAAGACTTGGGGTATGTCTACACTACAGAGTTTTTTTTCAGAAAAATGGCTGTTTTTCCAAAAAAAAAAAAAAAAAAAAACCCTTGAATTATGTCCATACTGCAATTGCGTTCTTTTGAAAGAAAATCGAAACAACAGGGATGTTTTTCCAACAGTGGTAATCCTCTTTCTATATTGAAGAAGACATTTTCTGAAAGAGCTCTTTCAGAAAAAGGTGTGTGTGGAGGGGGAAAAGGGAGTTCTTTCAGAAGAAAAGGAAAGAAGAGAAAGCACAGGTGCCCTGGTGGCCACTCCATCTATAGTAGTCACAGCTTAAATACAAGGTAGCATCTATTCAGTGTGATGTTCTCTTTCAAAAAAGCAGCTCTCTTTTTTGATGTGCTTTGGCAATGTGGATGCTCTCTTTTGGAAGAAGTTTTCGGAAGATCTCTTCTGGAAAAGCTTCTTCCGAAAGAAGCCTACAGTCTAGGGCTGTGTCTAGACTGGCAAGTTTTTCCGCAAAATCACATGATTTTGCGGAAAAACTTGCCAGCTGTCTACACTGCCCGCTTGAATTTCTGGAAAAGCACTGACGATCTCATGTAAAATCATCAGTGCTTTTCCGGAAATACTATGCTGCTCCCGTTAGGGCAAAAGTCTTTTTCTGAAAGATTTTTGTGCTAAAGGGCCAGTGTAGACAGCACAGTACTGTTTTCTGCAAAAAACCCCGATCGTGAAAATGGCGATCTGGGCTTTTTTGTGGAAAACCGCGTCTAGATTGGCCACGGACGCTTTTCTGCAAAAAGTGCTTTTCCGTTAAAAGCATTTTCGGAAATTCATGCCAGTCTAGACGTAGCCTAGATGTAGCCTTGGTGTGGTAATACTATCTGGGAAAGAGGCGATATATCTTAAATTGAATCTTAAATCTTTTATCAATTGTTACATGGGTGGCATATGACTGCAGCATCATGCTTTTTTGCTACCAGGGAAGCACTTTGTTGGAGGGACTTCAGGGAAAGGGCAATATAGTTGCAATATGTTGTGTGCAGGAATTAGAGGGTTTTAGGAGAATATTATTAGAGATTCATCTTATGACAAAACGGCAACTTTTTTACTGTTGGGCTATGTCTAGACTGCCCCCCTTGCACAAAACTGAAAAAAAGAGGAAGAATGGCTCTTGTGCAAGAGGGGTTTTTAGCCCAAAAAGGAGCCATGTAGATGGCTCCTTTTTGCTTAAAAGCTTCTTGTGCAAAACTGGAGTCTCATTAATTATGCAAATGAGGCATGGTGATATTCCATGTTTCGCCTCATTTGCATATTTTTTGTGCAAGAGGGGACCGTGTAGACATAGCCTTAGTGACTAGACTCTGTATTGTACATTATTGGAAAAATGTGATCTCTCTTGTTATTGACGCTTTAGTCAGGTGCTTTGAATGTATGTTAACATTTTATAACAATTTTGTCTTAGCCCTGGTCTATACTAGGGAGTTATTTCGAAATAACTTCCCTTATTTTGAAATAACAAGCAGAGCATCCACACTACCAAGCCCGTTATTTCCACATAAGGGGCTGGTTATTTCAAAATAAGAACTCCTGCTTTCCATGAGGAATAACACTCATTTCAAAATAGCATTAATGTGGATGCTCCACTGCTGCTCTTTTGAAATAACTACACCCCAGAGTCATTCAAAGTAGTTACTCCCCAGTGCTTCCTAGGGCTCTAAGTTGAGGTAGTGCATCCACATTAAGGGAACCTGCCTCGGACTAACTTTGAGGCTTCCCCATAGTGTGGACACACTATTTCAAAATAGTTATTTCAGGAGTTAATATTTTGAAATAATTTCCTAGTTTAGCCATGCCCTAAGTATGTTAAACTCAAACTGGATTTGTGTTACTTGCTTTCTGGTTTTTGAGCTTTTTAAGTTTCATTTTGTTAAGCTTTTCCCATTACCATGGAGGATAAAGACTTATCTTTGAAATAAAACTGAAATGGTATTTTATTAACATGACTCTAGGAGTTGGAGCTTTGAAAATAAAAAACAAAAACAAAACAAAACAAAAAAACCCTCCTAACCCAATACTGGTCATTGCACAGGGATTGAAGAAGGGCTTCTATTTGATACTATAAGTGCTAATATGGATATTAGATTATAATGGTTAATGTGCCCTCAGCAAACAGAATTCAGATTCCTGAGGCTCATCAGATGCAATCGTACTACCATTTGTTGGCTATACCTAATGGTCACCTGGGTGAAATCTATCCAGATCCTCCAGTTTACTAACCAAGTACATGGATGTGGAATTTTTTTAGCTTCTCTAAATACTGTGTATGTGCAGTGCTGTCCATAAGGACCCCTGCTGGTTTCCTTAGAAGGCTATTAATAAATTCACTGGAACAGAAACAGGACCGTTTTAGAGCTCAGATTATTTTTTTCCCTGTGAGCCAGCTGGTTTGCTTGGTGTGTGGATAAATTCAGTGATGAATGATGGGTCAAGAAGGGAACAGGCTGATTTTGCTTCGAGCTTGACCTTGTCTCTGGCCTGACATTTGAAATGGCAGGTGCATTAAAAAGTTGTTTGTTTATGGGGTCTGCAGCACACTGTGCTCTTTGTGACATAGCACCTGGCCTTGTCGGAGAGTTGGACTAAAGGTGTCCTGAGCCATCACCTCTCTGCCTGCTGGGGTCCATGTTCACAAGCTGTTGACACATCAGCTGCCCATGTAAAGCTAACACACCAAGAAGTGCTGGAGACTTTGTTTGTGCCACCTACCATTCTGTGAGTAGGAAGGCAAAAATGAACAGGATTCAAAATAGGTAGAGTTCTTTCTGCCACAAAGCTGTGCGTATAACCTGAGTCTTTGCAGATCACCCATCTCTTTAAAGGCATTAATTAACATAAATGTTCATCAGAAGGAACCTGTGCTGCGTAAGGTGCCATTTTTGGATAAGAGGAGGACCAAGATGCTTAACAAGAGCATGGCCCATCTACCAAGAGTGTTCAGTCCTGGTCTTTGGTCCTTCCTAGATTCCTAG